CTTACGAATAATGGAAAAGAAAAATCTACTATTTTGAAAGAATATATCCAGAAATTTGATACTCATCAAATTAATGGAAGTCCCACAACAATCCAAGAATCATGCAGATTGAGGGAGTGCCCCACATGCAGACAAGATTAAAAAGATTGACAAAAAATGAATGGAATGGGACCTACCACTACCAAAGCATCTAGCCAACTGCATATGGAGTCAAAGATGGAGAGGCAATAATAGAGGAAAAGATGCCCCTTTGATGAAAAAGTAAAAAATGCATGTGAAAATGTAGACCCCAGGAGGAAAAGAATAGAGAGGCATGTAGCCTTTTCAAATTCTGATGTATGCAATGATATAATAGACCAATAATAGCAAGTTTGAGTCATGTATAAATAGAGGTCTTTGAAAAAAGAATGGATCATTTCGAGTTAGAAACCATTCTCTTTCCTTAAGCTTTCTTTAAAACCAATTTTTATGGAAACCCCTTGTATACAATAGAAATCTTGTATAAATCATTATAGAAATAAAATCCCAATATTTTGATATCAAAAAAATATGAGTTTCTAAACTTTCTATCCCATAGATTCTTGACGGATTGAAGAAGATAATCTCTTTCTTATTTTAACAAAGAGAGAATTTTCTTTATTTAAGATCATTATTCTTAATTCTAAGAAAAGATATAGTGAAGGCAAGAAGCTGAAATAGTTGAATTCACATTAAGGCAAAAGGCCGTTTGAGGGAGCACTTTGCAGATTCAGAGCCTGAAGGTCACTCGATTCTAAGAATACAGATTTAAGATCATAAGTAAGGTAAAATTATTGTTTTTGTTAAATTTAGAAAGAATTCTTCTAATATCTTGAAAGAATCGTAGGGATTATTACTTTTCATGTTTGCAAAAAAATTTATCTATCACGTTATTATTATTCATAAAGCTTGTAAGAAATTATCTAAATGATGCTAGGCTATACAATTAGAGGATTAGATAATATGTTAGAAAAACTATTAGAAAAAATAAAAAATATTTTTTCTCAACTAGAGACTATGGATATATCATCTAAGGAATATGATAATCTTAAAGAATTATATGACAATTATATTAGAGATTATGCTAATTTATTAGATCAAATGATGGAACTATATATTAAAATTCGAAATGAGAAAAATAGAAGAATTTTGGAACTATTCCAATAAATTAGGATATTTTGTGCAAAATATGGCAAGCCATTTCATTAAGGGTATTATAAACATTTTGGCAAGAATGAATAGTGATAGGCCATTTAGAAAAATCCCCCACAGTGAAAGGCCATCCACTCTTTTATTGTAAAGGGGATAAATTGGCTATATAAAAATAAAGTAACGCAATCATCTTTAAAGACTTCATAATCTTTTTTGGTGGTTTTCACGTTGACATCATATCATGCACACAATGTGAAACTCTTTATTGACATCATACTTGAACAAACTTGCCCTGCACATTAATTCAACTTATACCCATCTACTTTATTTGGGATTGTATCACTACAACTTTCAGATCCACTCAATTTTATGTCGAACTTCTATCTCTATGATTCAATAATGTAATATTTCAATTTTTCAATTATGTTATGAAGTTATTTGCAGGTTAATTTAACACTGCTTGAAATAATGACACGCTAAATACTTCATCTATAAGGAATATAATTTATTATGCGAACTAATATCATGATCGATATCAAATAAGAACTTTACACCGTTCACAAATTAATTAATAATAAAGAGAACGTACCTTAGCTAATGCTACCCAAAATAGACATTTTTTTAAATCAACTTTTAAGCTCGACCAAACCTGCAGGTTAGAAATCTAATTTCTTTCCCTTACACCTCTTTGTCCAATATTAGATTAGTGGAGAGAGTGCCAATTTTTCTATTTTTAAAACTCGAGAATTTGCTTCCATTCTTAATTCATTTAGAATTTTGAATTGGATAGATCGAGATAAAAGTGGTAACAGTTGTAATAGAAGCTGAATATGGAACTGCAATCCAAGGTTCCATACCTAAATGGAAACAAAGCTCCCACTTACGATCCATGTAACAAACTACACTAGGTATGAAGTGTAGAACAATAGGTTCACAAGGACCACCATTATATAACCATTCATCAATGAATGTCGCTTCCCAAATTGGGTGTGTAAACCTACTACAAAGAATAGGGTTGCTTGCGGGAGCACTTCCTCCAATTTGCTTTGAGAATGAGGAAGGGTTACATAATGCAATAAATGGTATTAATAAAACATTGCAGATGTAATTTTCTTTCTACCCAATAATTCATGAAAACAACTTCTTTCACTATCAGCATCACTTTCAATTGCGACTTCACCAGTAATTAAATTCATCAAAATTATTCATAGCCATATTTAAAGATATGGACACTATAGATAGGCCATTGCTTTTTTAAATGTGGTATTAGACTTTGTTATTATATACCCCAACAAAAGGATGGTAGCCCTCCACATTAAATTACATCATAAATCGTGTTTTCAAACTCAAAAAGTCAAAAATTTGATATGTATGAGCACAACATTCAACAATAATTTTACACAGTCTTGAAATTTTCGAGAGAGATCGAAATTAAGTCCAAATTTCAAGTGGATCACTTAGTTTACAATCAGGGACGAAGCCCCATTAGGTCCAGTGCCGGCAGATACCCGCACTGAACTTTTGGGCTCCAGTAGGCCTAAAATTTATTTATTTATTTTTGTAAAGCCCGATTCAATCTCCAACCCAGATGGAAGCCCAATTGCTCATAGCCCATGACCCGTTTACTAACCCAGATCCGGAATGTTGATTCAATTAATCCGTTTTCGTTGAAATCAAAACCAAACCCTTGCTTGAATGTTGAATCGCGTCTCTCTCGACTCTCGCCTTGCTTCTCGCCACTCCCACTCGCAGTCGCCGACTTCTAGTTCCAGTCCATCGGCGGTCGGCATCTCCTAGATTAGGGGCTCTAATCTCCGACCTAGTAAGTAGTATCCCCAAAGTCCAAACCCCAATCCTCCCCCACCACAACTTTAACATCCAAGTTACAATTGTGGGTCTAAATACATCAATTTTACAAATGATTTGTATTCAAATCAAATTTATTTATATCATGTAAATATCATTTTTCCATTCGACAAACTAAAGAAAAAGTGGAAAAGGTCGTTGTTGACCACAGGCCGATGTCGCGTTTCAAACTTTAACTAGATGGAGATTCCAATGTAATCTTTCCTTTAGTTGTTTGGCCTTTTACTTTCCTTTGATCCCTATTCGTGCCTTCTCTTCTTCTTATTCTTGCCTTCTTAACTTTTTCTTTGAAAAAAAGAAAGGAAAAGGAATAAAAAAAAGACACCAATCACAAAAAGCCTTCAAAGCAAAAAATGACCATTGCATACTTTTAACTGTTTTTCCCCCTTTTGCTTTTTGCAGTTCGAATTTTCCATTTAATTCTTAATTTTGATCAAGAGAAAATCTTTTGAAAGTTGGGACTCGTTACATATGTTAATAATCAGTTAGAAAGTGAGACCATTTGGAAGTCTTGACTCAAGTAGCTCACTGGACAAGGCATGTTACAATTTTTATACACGTAACATATGAAATTTTGAAAGAGCTATTGAATATTCAAAATGGAATTATCGTTTTTTCTTTATTTTATTTGGTATGTCATGTAGATAACTAGTAGTTAGTACTGACCTCCAGCTGTAGTTTAGGTGGATTACTGGCTGTCTCTCTTGACAAATTTAGAAGGTGTTTGAGACCTATTTTTGTGTAAAAATACATTTAAAAATAATAAATTGATGGAAAATATGTGGTTGAAAAATAAGATTTTTTTTTGATTTAAGTGTAATATTATTTTAAAAAAAAATGTATAGTTGGAAAAAAGAGAGAAATATATATTTTGAAAAAAATGGAACCAAACGAGACCTCAAATTTTCAAATTCCCTTTGTCCATTTGTCAAGAAAATGCATTGAGTTTTAAAATTCAGAAAATAAAAAATATTGAGCCCGTTTGATAGCAATTTTTCACCTCAAAAAATTAATTCTTTGACCATTATGTCACTATTCAAGCTGTCATTTTCTTATTTCTTCACTCACAGTTGGGATCCATTTTTTCTCTAACGATTAAAAAATTAATTCTCATAATTATTACCGAACATGCACTGAATTTAATTTACATTGATAATTACGAACCCAGATCCCATGAATCTTGGGGAGATCCATAAATTTTAAAAAAAAACTTAGTATATATATTAATTTTTAATTAGATTAGACAAGA